TCCTCCGTGTTCCTGTAACTGCAGCAGAAGCATGGCCCCCTCCGTGCCTCCTCAGCTGCCACCCAGATGCCCTTTCACTAGAACTTTCCTCCATAGAAAGGCAGAAATGGCCATTTTATCTATAAAAATAAGGACCGCTGCTGAGATTTTCAAGGAAAATGCCCACTTAATGTAAATTAATAGACACAGGCTGGCTCTGTGAGGGAATCGTGCTTGTCACCAAGCCTGATGACCCCGGTTCAAGCTCCAGGACTCAGAGTAGAATTAGAGAACTCACTTCTCACTTCTGCAAGTTGTTTCCAACCTGCACACACATGAATAGTACACACACACACACACACACACACACACTCCATAATGTGAAAATACAAAGAATAGATAATAACACTGAAGTGTTTGAGGCTAGAATCTTGGCTCCAAAAATTTTCGTTGTATGACCTTTGGCAAATTGCTTATCCCTCTGAGTCTTCATTTCCTTATCTGTAAGAAAAGATAGTATGTGCTGGACACATAGAGGTTATTGTGAGGGACAAGCAGATAATGAGTGCCTGGCATAAAACATGTACTTAATAATGGCTGTCAGTGGGAACTTTGGTATCCTCAGTAAGTGGATTTTCCTGTTCTCCCATCTTTTTGAGTTTAGGGGGAGTTTATAGTCATAGTGCATCTGCCACCAAGAGGGCCCCCTGACCAGGCATGTACCTGAAGGCAAAGGCCTGGCAGTTAGGGCCAGGGTAGTATGTAGCTCAGTGTTAGATCTCTCGCCATTAATGAGCCTCTAGATTCCACCCCTCGGACCGCCACCTCTGGCAACAACAAGAAAAAATGAAAAATAACTATTATCCATGTTGGTGAAATTAATCCCAGCTTAACAGTTTTCCAAGCTAGGCTCCCAGCAGTCTTTCAGGTAAATGCCTGTTGTCTGCCTTTTTTGAGATAGAACCCTGATGTATATAGCTAGACTGCCCTTGAACTCAAGATCCTTTGCCTTAATCTCGGGAGTACTGAGTTTACTGTCATATGCCATCACGTCTGACTTAGACGTGCTTTTGGGTTGGGGACTGGGGATGAACCTAGGGCCTTGTGCATGCTAGGCTGAGACAGCCTGCTAGTGTTTCCTCTCAGCTACCTTCCTGAGCCAGTTAACTCCAAGGCATCAGCGTGATTGGTCCTCTTCTAGGCCTTCTGCTGCACTGAGAATTCAGAGATGCATAGGACTTCTCTCCTCCCCTGTCCTCTGGCCCTCACTTAGCTCTACCTCGCCCCAGCCTCTCAACAATCCCCACTCAGCTTCCCAAGAGATCAGGTCACAGGCTAAGTAAGCCATTCCATCTCAGTCTCCCTCCATCCCGTCCTTCTTGCTTCCAGCTGCGTCTGGGAAAACACTCCAAGCATACTGTCTCTACCACCAAGCTGTGCCTCGAAGTCAAACTTTTTGCTCAAGGAAACAACTGGGTCAAAATTCCTTTATTTGCAAAATCTCCAAGTATTGCCTTCACTACTCGTCTTCCGCCACATCCTCCAAGAGTCTCCTTAAATGGTTGTTGCTGAGACCCTCCCTCCTCTCGTGGCTCCCACCATTCACCTGTCTTTACCCCAGCGGCCAAACAACTAAGCCACAGTGTTAATTGTCAGTTCCCTGTTTAATGCACAGGGATCTCACACCCTGATCAGACCATAAGTAAACAACGTCAGAGCACAGTCTTCTGTTGGGTCACATCCCATCCCATTGTAACCGCCATTTGTTACTTCCAGTCATCTATGACGACCATGGCTAACCACTTATGAGCTTACATGAAACATACTTTAACTTATTCCTTTAAACCAGCAGAACATGAAACGTGGCAAACAGGGCAGGGCAAACACTACTTTCCCACACACAATAATTCACATAGGAAACTGCTTGACTCTTTTCTGTTCCTTTTTTGTTTTTGTTTTTGTTTTTCCAGACAGGGTTTCTCTGTGTAGCCCTAACTGTCCTGAACTCGCTCTGTAGACCAGGCTGGCCTTGAAGTCACAGAGATTGGCCTGCCTCTGCCTGCTGAGTGCTGGGGTTAAAGGAGTGTGCTTTCCACTGCCTGGTAAAAGATTTATTTTGGGACTGGATAGATGGCTCAGGGGTTAAGAGCATTGGTTGCTTTTCCAGAGGACCTGGGTTCAATTCTTAGCACCACATGGTGACTCACAACTGTCTGTAACTCCAGTCCACAGGGGATCCAGTCCCTTCTTCTGGCCTCCAGAGACATCACACACATGTGACACATAGACAACAAGCAAGCAAAACACCTATACATACAAAATAAATAAATAATAAAAGATTTATTTTATTTCATGAGCATGCATGAATGTATATGCACTACATGCACGCCTAGTGTCCTTGGATGCTAGAAGGGGATATTGGATCCTTTAGAACTGGGGTTACAGGTGGTTGTGAGATGCCCAATGTGGGTGCATGGAACAAAACTCGAGTCTTCTGCAAGAGCAGTATGTATTCTTTAAAACAAAAACAAAACCAACCCCCCAGAACAAACCTGTTTTAGATTTGTTTTTGTGTGTATAAGTTTTGCCTGCCTTCATGATGTCCATGGGGTCAGAAAGGGGCGTCAGATGTCCTGGGACATGTGGGTGCTGGAATGAACTTGGATCCTCTTGGAAGTGCAACAGGTGCTCTTAACCACTGAACCATCTCCCCAGCCCTTCCTGCGTCGGTCTTTTCAAATCACTCTATCTTTCTTCCACCAGGGTTAATACTGAGCACTGGATTGTGTGGAATGGAAAATACAGTTATCTGATGTTTGCACTTGGCCTTGAAAACAACCCAGTTGTTATCGCCCACTTGGAAACCCATCCAAAGAGGGCCAGCCACTTTCTCCTCATTGGAGACAGAAAAGTTTGTGTCCCGTGCCACCTTATGAGCAAAGCTCTTTCTCAGCTTATCTAACCCTCTGGAAAAATATCCTGATTTCCCTATAACCACCTACAGTATTTAGGACAGATTTTCATTCTTCTTACTGTAATGTCATCATGAGGAGCACTTTTTTCTCTCTCTCTTGTGGGCAGATCAGTGGTGATATCTACCGTGAAACTGTACTTATTATTCCTGAACATGCTCATTAGGAAAAAAATACTTTAAAAAAGACTTAAAATATTTTTAAAAAAACCCAAACCTTGCCGGGCGGTGGTGGCGCACGCCTTTAATCCCAGCACTCGGGAGGCAGAGGCAGGCGGATCTCTGTGCGTTCGAGGCCAGGCTGGACCGATAGCCTCCAAAACAATACAGAGAAACCCTGTCTCTTAAAAACCAAAAAAAAAAACCCAAACCTTATATAGGAAAATATCCTTAATCCATGAAAACCTGTATATATTGGGGGATGGGTGAGTAAAGCAGAGTGTGGAAGAAAAAGGTTGAAGGTGTGTGTGTGTGCACATCTGTGTATGAATCAGATACTTCCCAGGGAGGGGGGGTGGGAATGCTAATCCTGTCCGTCAAATTGATGGAAGACATAATAAGCTCTGGCCTATTTACAGACCTTAAATTGGCATATGCTATACAGATTGAGTACCAGGGTGAATTATTTTTTTTCTTCAGGGCTATTCAGATAAAGGAAAGAAAAGTAAAAGGAAATATAATGAGAAAAGATAATAATAAACTATAATAAGAAAAAACATGACTATTGTTTTGTGGAATTGTTCCCTCACAACATTGTTTTTTTCTAGCGGTCAATGCTGAGAGTAATTAGGTAACATTCCGTTTTGCAGAGGGCTTGGAGAGAACAGTCTCTGGAGTCTGGGTGGAGAGGTGAAGAGGATTATCTAGATGCTGTACTGATTTTATTTGACTTCAAGGATGTTCTCCAGTGTCACTCTTGCTCTGCTGCCAAAATGTCCCTGAGCCGTTCGTGGAACACTGTGCCATCCGGAGAAGCTAGTTCACGGGTGGCAAGGCACAGTACACCTTCCCACGGAGACTCCAGAGAGATAACAGAGGCACTTCCGAGTCCGAAGGGTACCTCTCCCCGGGAAGCAGCCCTCTGCCAAAGACCGCAGACTACAGGCCGCTCTTTGAAGGAAGGCAGTGAGAGCCACTGCCCAGTGCTCACCTCCAGGGCTTTCTTAAGCAGAGAAGCGCACTGTGTAGGCATGGAGCTGTCTCTGGAAGCCCTTGCCTGGGAAGTGCCTTGGGAAGGCAGACCTACACCAGCACTCTCAGGACCGACCGCCCAGGCTCAGGCTCCTCTCTTGGAGAGTGTCCAAGCCAGAACACACATTTCCCTCCTTTGCCCCACACCTAGTTACTCCTAATCCCCTCCAAGATCCTCACAGGGTCTTGTGGGTGTTAACACACAGGTGCCTCCCACTAGGCAACCAGAGAAGCACACACTCCATTTAGAGCAGAACATAGTCAAACTAGGCAGCTCCCTTCCTTACTTTCCTCATCTATGAGACAGGAAGAACAGTCCTGTCGCATCTGTTTCACAAGTGCTGCATAGGACAGACCTTCCTATAAAGAATCAGAGCAGTACTATTACTGGTTTTGCTCTTTGTGTTACACACCGCAGCGTTTCATAGCATAAGATAACAAAATATTAAATAGGCTCCAAAACCGGGTCCACAGCCTTCTGAGGCAGGCTGAGTTAAAGCTAGTTAAAAATCCATGTCTCAGCCTGAATTAGGATCTCCCGGATCAGAGCTGCCTAGAGAACAGCCGGAAATAAATTTGTTACACTTCTAACAAATTCCCAGGCAATGCTTGGGACGCAGGGCCAGCCTGGTTTCTGAACTCTGTTCTATTCTGAGGAAAGAGCAGCTCTGCCTGGCTTGGCTGAAGCGATGTATGACAGACATCACTTTGCCATAGCTCTTAGATGTGACTAGCCAGGTGGGTGGCATCATGGGTCCTAGGCAAAGCTTAATTAAGGGACTACGGAGGGGTTAAAGTCCAACGGGGGACCCCCGGAGAGGGATGGGTGGCGCTGGGGGCGACAAGGACCCGGACTCACCTACAATGATACCACAGGCGCTGACCAATCCGATCTCTTTCTTCAGGGCTACTCCGCCCCCTCCCGAGCCAGCCGCGGCCTCAGGGCTGGAGTCCGATCTGCTCCCACCCGGGTGGTTCTTCGCAGTGTTGTTTCGGTGTCGGGCCCCCTTTTCCATCTTTCTCCGTAGGGTTCGGATCTCCAAAGGCTAAATGGAGCTGTATCTTTTTAAACGCCTGTGCGCGTAAATGTACAGATACGTGGGAAAACAGAGTTTCCAATTAAAACTCCCGTTTCAAAAACCGAGAGCGCTCCGAGCCTCCAAAAAGTGACAGCAAACGAGAGAGAGAGCGGGCGAGCTGTAAATATTCCCACTCTGCACTGACACGTGCCACTCCTGCTACCAAAAAGGGCCGTGGTTTTCTTTTTTTTTAAAGGGAGGCGAAGAGCATATATATGTAAATACAAAAATAGAACTGTACCAGCGACGCCAGCTGGATTTCTCCGGAAAAGGGTTTTATCTTCAGGAGCCCAGGCTGGCGGCTCGGAGTACCGGGCGGCGGCTTGCCCTGCTCGGGATTCTCTGCAGCCTTCCTCCCAATAAAGCAGGTCGCCCTCACCCTCCCTCGGTCTGTCTTTTGCGGCGAGGGTAAAAGTAGTTCTCGCCGGCTGAGGGCGGAGGAGGCGCGGTGCTCAGGTACTTTCTTCTCGCTGGTTGGCTCCGGGCCGGTTTTCCACCTGCTGTGTGCGGGTGTCCCTTCGCCGCTCTCGGGTCTCAGCTCAAGCCGCAGCCCGCTGCATCTCCCGGCGGCTGCGCTGGCTCGCGAATGTGCTTCCCCTACCAGCCGCGGCGTTTATTTGCGGGCCGAGGCTCCGCCCCCACCTCCTCGCCATCCTTAGCCGCATCTCCTTCCCTCCTCTTCTATTTAAATATTAGTAACAACCCCCCACACACACACACACGCAAAGATCACGGAGCAAACGGTTTGAAACATTTCTGTCCTTTTCCTTCCAGTGGAAGCGAGGGGAAGGGTCGGTTGCAGGGAGAAGTCTCTGGCCAAGGCTGGATCTCAGGTCGCACAGCATTCGTGAGCTCAGTTTTGCAGGCGTTTAAAGCCTTCAGAAATAAACTGGCCTGTGTGCTAAAATGTTGAGGTGTGGGTCATTTGAGGACAAGGTCGAGAAGGCTGTAAGGATATCATCGTCAGACTGTTGCCTGAAATTGGGGGCGGGGGCTGGTAGGGGCAGCATAGAAGGACTTCAGGCTGAAGAGTTTCTTTTAGGGACTATCATGAAAGGTAAATAAAATCATCAAGAAGATGCAACGTTCATCTGAAGCATGATAAGGAGGACTCTGATCTAGTCCCATAACTCCTAATATTTAACCCACCTATAAACTACTTGAACTTCAGATGGGAGAGTTGCGAGCCTCTCACTGATCATGGAGCAGATGTGCTGATATTAGGAAATGGGTGTCCTTTAAGTACATTGCGCCTACACCCCCCTGAAGAATTTAATTCAAAACTGTTGCTTTACCTCAAGAATAGTGTCTATTTCTAACTGTAAAGTACTTTGGGAAAACAATATGAAACAATACTGCATACATCGCTGAAAACGAGAAAATAAATTTTAACATATACTATACAAAATTAATTGCATTTAAAATAAGTCTAAAAAATAAAATTCCAAAGAGCATGGTGGTACGCGCACCTTTAATCCCAGCACTTGGGATGTAGAGGCAGGAGGATCTGTCTGAGCTCAGGGCCAGCCTGGGCCTGCATATTGAGTTCTAGACCAGCCAGAGCTACACAGTGAGATTCTGTTTCAATAAGACAATCAAACCAAATTGCCCAATCTACACAAATTTGGCTTATCTTTTTAGAAAATGTTCCAAAACACTTGGGGTTTTTAGGAAGATTTAAAAACCCCTTTAAAATGGCTAGGCTATCTAGAAGAGCTTTTCCGGATGGGGTAAAGTCCAGTCAACAGTCTCCTTTCCCATCTGCCCCTTGATCACCCAACTCAGCAAGTATCAAGAGGGTTCAAAGGTTAAGATCTCAACCCCTCTCCTTCTGTTGGTTTAAGATACAGCAGATTGAAAGCCTCAGCAAAAAAAAAAAAAAAAAAAAAAAAAGAGAAAGAGAAAAAAAGCGTGGATGGGAGGAGTGTGTGTCATCTTCAACAAAAAGAATAGGCAAAAAAAAAAAAAAAAAAAAAAAAAAGCCGGGCGGTGGTGGCGCATGCCTTTAATCCCAGCACTCGGGAGGCAGAGGCAGGCGGATCTCTGTGAGTTCGAGGCCGGGCTGGACCGATAGCCTCTGAAAAAATACAGAGAAACCCTGTCTCGTAAAAACCAAAAAAAAAAAAAAAAAAAAGAATAGGCAAAGGTTTGGTATAGCCCAGAACTCCACGGGAGCAGGGAATGAGCCAGGGAGAAATGAAGAGAATGGGATTTGCCTCTGGCCTTTCTTGACCAGCTTAGAAAGCATTAAGGGAAAACTTGATGGATTCAATATTAAACAATCCAATTTGAAGACTTCTGCTCAGATTTCAACATCAAGGGATAAAACCTTTCTGCCTCTCAAATGTGAGTTCCTTCTGTAATGTTTTGTAGTTTCAGTTTAAATGGTGTAGGCTTAGTATGGGGTTAAAGACAAGCATGTGATGACTTTGAGATCGCTCCCAAAGTGAGTGCAACTGAACAGCCGTGTGTAAGCTTCAGGCTTCTGGATTTATACACTTTATAAATCTATAAATTTATAAATGTTAAGTGCAAACAGACTTTGGGGATATACAGTGTGGCACCAAAGGAGAAAGGGAGGAGTGTTAAAATAAACTAATATTTCCATTTCTTTAGCACTTGGAATTTATGAGTGGCTTGTAACTCTTTGTTGATGGCAAAATATGAAAGTTAGAAAAGGAACCTCTTCATTTGAAAGGACCTTAAATGTCTGTAGGCTGCTGACATTTTGTGGCATAAATGTTGCATGTATCAAAATTTTGTGCAACTAATATTGAACACAGAAAAAGAAAAGTCTTGGTGTAATTTGTTGAGAAAATATTATTAAAATTTAATTGAAAGTCCTCATATTTTGATCACTTAATCTAAATAGCTTTGATCTACGTTTATCTTTGTACTTTTTACTTTACTCTTTGCATTTAAATAGTGCTTTACAACTTGTATGCATAATGTCTCATTTTTCCTTCCCCATTAAGAACCTTAGGTAGACAAAGCCAATTTGTTAATTTTGAGACAGGGTCTCTCTATGACTGGAATAGAACTCACTCACTATCTAGATGAGGCTGGCCTTGAACTCATAGTGATCTGTCTATCTCTGCCTCCTGAGTGCTGGCTGACAAAGCCAGTTTAGTTTTGTTTGTTCGTATTTATTTTAGAAAGGATCTTGTTGATATTGGCCTGGAATTTACTACGTAGACCACGTTGACCCTGATACTCACAGAGATCTGCCTGGGGGGATTGAAGGAGTATGCTACCAAGTCCAACTAAACCCAGTTATTCCTACATGTGTTTTTTTTTTTAATTTTTGTGCTGAAGATCAAATATAGAGCCTTGCTAGTCATAGCTCTTACACTGAGCCACCCCCTCCCCATAACTTACATTTTAAGAATTTTAAAATATTAGGCCAAGGCTCCAAAAAGTGTCTTATTAGAGGTCAAAAGGCAAACATTGGCTCTACTCGTGGGCAAGCAGGTTGTCACTGGTTTCCACCGAGCTTTCTCAAGGCACTGTAACTACTTGTCAGGTTTCAATTGCTTTCACTTGGAGAGAGCAAGACATGATAATACTCTCTTCTTATGTTTGTGGGTGGTGGTTTGAGGCAGGGTCCCATTATGTAGCCCAGGCTGGCCTCAGGATCTTCTGGTTCCAGGGTCCTGTGTGTTTTTGAGTTAATGTCATAACTGATTTTTTTTTTTAAAGAGACCCACTTTATTGTCAGCACTTCAAAATCTGATCAGTAAGAATCACGGGCCTCTTTATGCACACCTCTTTTTGGATATTTCTCAAGCGCTTACTTTATACAATCCTATTTCCAGTATCTGAGAGACAGTTCTCATCACTTTACTTGCTGAAAAGAAGAAGAAATTGACCCCTTTGACAAGGAAAAATGTGGTTGGAAGGATCATCTTACGAACACTGAGAAAGAGAAAGGCTGTGTGTGCTGTGTGTGGCTGACACCTACAGCTTGAAAAGGGCGATGACAGGGGACATGCCACCGCAGCAGGTGAACACTCACAGTTTGATTGTTCCTTTGGGAAACAACTGGTAAAAAGTGTTAGAGCAAAAGAACAGAGCATGCATGCAACCAAGCGGTTCTATTTCTGGTTTTTTTTTTCTGGACCTAACAGCACTTTATTCTTGCTCTTTGTCATGGAGCTGTGAAGTCTGAGGTCACTAACGAGGGACCTGACTGCTTCCTTTGAGGCAGTTCATGGCCCGTACTGTGCAATCTTTTTCTTTTTGTTTGTTTGTTTGTTTTGGTTTTTTGGTTTTTCAAGACAGGGTTTCTCTGTGACTTTGGAGGCTGTCCTGGAACTAGCTCTTGTAGAGCAGGCTGGTCTCGAACTCACAGAGATCTGCCTGCCTCTGCCTCCCGAGAGCTGGGATTAAAGGCGTGCGCCACCAACGCCCAGCTTGCTGTGCACTCTTCTTATACAGAGCTGTCCAAAGCTAGAAGGAACCCTTCTTCCAAGTAAAGCCCACAGACTGGGCATGCAAGCTCGTGCTTGTAATGCAACACACAGAAAAAACACTGAGTTCAGGACAGTCTGGGCTGCAGCGTGAAACTTTCTCACAATACATAAATAATTATGCAAATAGATTAAAAAACAAAACCTATAACTAGGCATGGTGGAACATGGGTACCTCAGCACTAGAAAAGCTAAGTCAGGGGGATCTTGAGACAACCTAGGCTACATAATGTCTTGTCAAGTCTGGGATGCACATCAAAACCCTGTCTCTAAAATCAAAAAACAAGCAAAAAGCCCCACGGGACTGTAGAGATTTATTCAAAAGTTAACAGCACTTACTGCCTTTGCAAAGAGCACAGGCTGTTCCCAGCTCTCAAGCCGGAGCTCACAACCATCTGTAACTCCACTTCCGGGGATACAATGCCCTCTTCTGGCCTCCGAGGGCACTGCATGCATGTGGTGCGCAGATACACGGGCAGGCAAGTCACCTATGCACACAGAATAGAATAAAAAAGTATTTCTTAAAGCATGTAAGTCTTCCCGGGTGTGGTGTACACTCCAGAGGCACAGCAGGAGAAACGGGATTTCCAGGCCAGGCATGGGCTACATGGTGAATCCTGTTCCTAAAGACAAGGACTCAATGTGTAATTAATTCAGATACAGAGCATCTGCCTGCTGTGCACAAAACCCTGAATTTGATCTCCAGAACCACAAATCAAAACAAAGTAATTACAATTATATGACTCTTTATCTTGGGCAAATATAATAAAAACCAACTGAGGTAGAAGTCTCTCTACATAAATCCTCAGGACTAGAGTCACCTAAATCCTTAGAAAGGAGAACATTAGTACAGCAGTTGAGGAGATATGGCCTGCAGCAGGGAGTGTGGTTGTGTTTTTTTCCCACCAGAGCTGGGAAATACTTGGAATCCAGCCAAGTGCAGCAGACAGAGGGATAATTTTCTGGAATTTTTTGTCTCTGTTGTCAGAGCAAGGGTTCATCTTCTCCAGAAGAGTATGAATTAATTACCCATTGTAACAACACAAAGGCTTCTCCAGCCACATCCTCAGGACACCTTAAGTTTCGGAAGATACAACTTCCTTTGAACATGGTGTCGTGTCCCAGAAGCAGATGGT